AGACATCGTGGCGACTCTAGGAACAATATATAGGGGACAGGGGGCACATAAGATACCACAGTCAAACCGAGGGGGAGCGAAGTGAGTAGTAAAACTTTTCACTAGGGGATGGGGTAATATGCTGCCATTGGCTGTCTGATGCCAGCATGCTGTGCTCTGCATGCTGGCATCTGACAACACATTTGCATATAATTCAGGGAATTATCTACTAAACAGCCAAAGGATCAAAATTAAAAAAGCCCTTTTATTATTTTCACTTGTTTAGTAAATAAATACCTTATTTGTTATCCGTATGTGGTATTGCAATATTTAAAGACACCAAATAAGGGAGCTATCTACTAAACACATACACATAAATACACATAATCAGAGATATACACAAACACAATCACAGACGTCCGCACCTACACTCACAGACATACTATCACATACACACAAACATTACATACATACACACATTTAATAATTAAGAGGTCCACCCAGCCTCCCTTGCTCTAGAAGGGCTGGAGTGGATCCTCAGTCCCTGGTGGTCAGTGGTTGCTGCTGGGATATCTGTGCTCTTCCTGCACAGGTCCCTCGCACGCCCTGTAATGACACAGAGGCCGCGATTACATCATATCACGGCTGCCGGCTCACTGCAGGGTGAAGACCATCAGGCACAGTCAGATGCACACAGTCCCACACACATAGTCACTCACACACAGTTACAAGCAGACAGTCAAACACGCAGTCACAGGCAGAAGGTCACACATACATACACACAGACAGTCACACACACACACACAGGCAGACAGTCAAACACACAGAGTCACACAGGCAATCACAGACAGTCACACACACACACACACAGTCAAAGACAGTGTCAATCACAGTTACACCCAGCACACACTCTCTCTCACTTACATTCAGCTTGGGCTGGAGGAGGAGTGGATTCAGTGAGTCCCTGGTGTGTTGGAGATGGGGAAGCAGGGACACATTCCTGCTTCCCCTCTATGTGAGCAGTAAGAGGCTGCATTTAGCTCCGCCTCCACATCCAGATTGGCTCCGCCCCATGGCCAACCTGACCCAGCCCCAACTCCGTGCAGGTCTCCTGCTCCTGCTTCCATCCCCTGTGTGCAGGGCTGCCATCAGAAATGTTGGGGCCCCTGACACAGCTCAAGGTCTGGGCCCCCTGGTGCCTGCACCCGAGTCCGCCCAAAGTGCTGCCCCCCCCCCGAATCCGCCCACAGGGATGCAGTGTCTGCAGGGCCGGTGCAAGGATTTTTGCCACCATAGGCAAAAGTAAAGTTTGCCGTCCCCCCCATGTGACATCACAATGCCCCACCCATATGATCTGCCATGTTAACTAACACATTAAAAGGCCTGCAGGGTCAGGCTAGACACCAGAACCACTACATTAAGCTGCAGTGGTTCTGGGGACTATAGTGTCCCTTTAATGTGAGGTAAATTAGAGATTAATGCCACGAATAATATACTAGATTGCCTACTTACAACCAGATGAGGAAGATGATGGGCTCTAGCTGCCGTCTGGCTCCACTGGTCTGGTGTACAACAGGCTCTCTGGAGGCGGTTTGTAATTGTGGTCACAAAAATCAATGTTCTGGGAGAACGGGAAGCAGCTCCATTTTTTTGAGGGCCCTTTACACAGCTCAAGGTCTGGGTCCCAGGGTCCACCTTCATGTTCCACCAATGAGTTTGTTCACAGGGAGTGGAGTGTGTGTGTGGGGGATGTCCTGATGTGTGTAAGGAATGCATTGTGTGAATCTGTGTTTGTATGTGTAAGGGCTGCAAGATGTGTTTGTATGTGTAAGGGCTGCAAGATGAGTTTGTGTATGTATGGGATGCAGTGTGTGCGTCTGTAAGGGATGCATTGAGTGTGTGTAAGGGGTGCATTGTGTGTTGCTGTGTGTAAGGGATGCATTGCTTGTGTACGTGTGTCTGTGTGTAATGCATTGTGTGTTTTTCTGTGTGCAAGGGGTGCATTGTGTGTGATGGATGTCAATCTCTCCCCCTCCCCCACGTCAATTTCCTTCAACCCCCCCTCCCTCCAATTTCCTTCTTCTCCCCCTCCCTCTCCAATTTCCTTCTCCCCCCCCTCCAATTTCCTTCTTCTCCCCCTCCCTCTCATTTCCTTCTCCCCTTCAATTTCCTTCCTTCTCCCCTCCATTTCCTTCCTCTCCCCGTCCCTCAAATTTCCTTCCTCTCCCCCTCAAATTTCATTTCTTCCCCCCTCCCATTTCATTCCTTTCCCCCTATTTCATTCATTTCCCTCCCATTTCATTTCCTTTCCCCATTTCATTCATTCCTCCTCCCATTTCATTCTTTCCCCATTCCATTCTCCCTCCCATTTCATTCCTTTCCCCATTTCATTCCCCTCCCATTTCATTCATTCCTCCCCTCCCTTTTCATTCATTCCTTCCCCCATTTCCCCACTCCCATTTCATTCATTTCCCCATTTCATCCCCCATGGCTGACACCGACACCCGGCGCGCGAGGGAGCACTCTCTGTGTGCTTCCTCTTCCGCTCCCTCGCGCACCGTACTGACGTCATCTTCCGGCTCGGCATCAGTACGCGGCGCGCGAGGGAGCGGAAGAGGAAGCACACAGAGAGTGCTCCCTCGCGCGCCGGCCTGCCGGGTGTCGGGTGTCAGCAGGGCCAGCCTCTGGGGCCCCCCAGGAGACCCGGTATGTACCCACTGAATGTGGGCCCGGACGACCTTAGCAGTCCGGGCCCCCCAGGACCACCGGGCCCATGACAACTGTTGCGGTTGTCATGCCCTGATGGCGGCCCTGCCTGTGTGTGTGAGCTGTGTCGGCTGCCCGGTGCCTCTGCTGCTATGGCAACCTGTGCAGCCACACAGCTCACAGAACCCCAAGCCTGGCCAGCCCTGGTGGCACCCCCCTACCTGATGGCACCTTGGGCGGACCGCCCCTCCTCTCCCCTCCCTTAGTACGCCACTGCCCATAGTGTCCCTTTAATTAGATTACAGTAACAAATCCAGCAAGCAGCAACACATTTTTTAACACAAATATTTATTTTTGTGGAAAATAACTTGAAGATATTCGGACAAGAATTGGTTTAGCTGAACCATATTTTTCCACCATTCACAAGTCTGATAGATTTTATTGTAAAGCGCTGCGGAATAAGCTTTACAATAAGCGCAATATAAATACCAATAATAATAATAATAATAATAGATAGATAAACAAAATAAGACAAATAATGCAAAGCTTTTTTTTTGCACTCCAATGGGTTTATTTGGTAGAAAGGAATAACAACATTATGATCAACCTCTGAACCATAACAATCATTGCCTGAGACAGATAGATGAAAGTATGTTTATTAAGGGAAGTTCTTCAATGGTGTGATATTATATACCTGACAAATACCCCTATGAGTAAGCTATATGTCCTATAAAAACAGAAATTAAACTATCAATTATAATATTCTATTTTGATTTATGACATATTTGAATAGTTTTACTAATATTATCTTAATTATCTTAATATCTTTTTCTTCTTTTCTAATCAATGGTGTAGAAATCACAAGTTACTTTTTAAAGGTTGAATCATTTGTTTACGGCACTTGAGTGCTGTATGAATATTATTCCTTTTTATCATGTTTTGTTGGCTACTTTTTTCTTTGATTTTCTTATTTGCAAAATAATACTTTTTGAAAGGTTTGGCAGCGTTATAATGCAAATTGTAAAGGCATCTTGCGATTTGCAGCTGCTGTTGATGTTGCACCAGTTTTATTCTTGGTGTAATACAAAATTAGCTGTTACTCTGAAAACTAATGAAATGCTGAATTAGCAGATTCACAGTCAGATCTCAAGCCATGATCATTAAATAGAGAGGTGGTTCCATTTATCCCACTGGTCACTTTGGGTAGTGTGGCCTAATGGACCACAATAGAGGATATTCCTTATTTTATACCCAGTCTGAGAAAAACTGCTTTCTACGTGTTGTAACTGGAAAGGGCAGGGATATCACACTCATAGAATGCAGAGAGCAGCGTTTTCAGACCATGTAAATGATAATGGAAAATTCTCTATCATGGTCTCCTAGGGTGTAGGCAGGGTGTGGGATGTAAGAAAAAGGAAAAGGGGTAAAGCAAATAGGGAGAGGCATAGGGACATTAGAGGGGTTGAAATTCAAGAAAGGGGGTAGGAGACAAAACAGGAGAGGAAAGAGAACCAAGGGTGTAAGACACACAAGAGAGTGAGTAGAAGAGACAACAAGGAAAGTAAGTGTCAAAAGAGGGGTAAAAGGCACTAAAGGGTGGTGAAAGACAAAGTGGGGCATAAGAAATGCAAGCATGGCATCAGAGATGCTAAGAGGCATAAAAGACGAAGGTGGCATAAGAGAAGCAAGGGAAGAGTAAGAAACACAAGGGAAGCATAAGACACAAGAGAGGGCTAAGTACACCTCTGGTATGATAATAAAACTCATGGATCTTTTAACTGACTTCTGTGCTTTAAATTGAACTGAATGTATTTCATGCAACCATACAATATCTACATTTATACATTCATGCATGCATTATAGATGTAATGTTATCAGTATTATTCCATATGTTTTATATATCTTACTACTGTTCCAACTACTTCAACTATTTGACAGATTTGCAGACTAACAAAACATGAATACAGATTTTTATTTTTTGAATTTGACCATTTTTATTGATTTTTTTAAAGTTTTGTAGGGGTACAGAAAAGAAGGGTGGTTATGGGGGAAAAGCAGGTAGTTTATGTATACAGATTTAGATTGAAAATATTAGTAATTTTTTAGTGTTTGTAAATATTGTCATCTATTTAATAGCAAAATAAGTTTGGCAAATAAACGTTAGTGACTTCAATTATTTGCAGTCTTTTGCCACTAGCTATATGACAAATTTGTCAAATGTATCCTGCCTTACTCTTATAGAGATCTTCATGTAAATCATAGTGTCTCTGCATCCTGTTATAAGCTGTGTATGTCACAGACTGAGGTCATTGATACGAACTAGCAGATACTGTGTACTGTCTGCTCTGATTATCCACTGAACATAATGAGGGCTTTCTACATTGTGCTCCCTCTGCTGATATCTGGATCATGTAAGGAACACATGTATGCTGTACATAACCATTTTATTTTCAGGCATTATACATTACAGATTCCTCATAAATTGTTATATTTGTTTCTTTTACAGATGTTCTTTCCCAGACAGTTACTCTGGACCAACCTGGATCTGCAGTTGTGAAACCCTCTGAAACCCTGAAAATCCCATGTAAAGTCTCAGTGTCTGTTACTAGTGCTACCTGGCACTGGGTCAGACAGAAAGCAGGGTCAGCACTGGAATATATTGGGTATATTAATAGCGGTGGGGGCACAGGCTATGCCTCGATCTTCCAAGGAAAAGTCACTTTCACCAGAGACACATCAAAAAATGAACTTTACTTTGAAATGCCAAATATGAGAAGTGACGATTCTGGGACATATTACTGTGCGAGACACACTGTGACCGAAGGAAATCAAAACTCGTTATAAAACTTCATAGTGAAGAGGAAGTGAGAGGAAGAATAGAAAAAATATAAAGTCATAGTGAAGTGGAAAAATCAATCAAGGTATTGATTATTTATTTGTGTATCTGCCCCTGGCCAAATCAATGAAACAATGCGTGCACGCTCCCTGAAGTAATTCACACCAGACACAGGTTCCAGGTTGTTGAATAACTTGAGGAAAGTTTATTCAGAGGGGACGGCAGGTCCCTCTTAAAGCAAAATTACATCATAAGCATTGTCAGAGATAACATGGAATAATACATCAATTATTGGTTAGGTGTTAAGTGGTTGCTCTAATGCTCTGCCTACTGAAGTGATGTCACCGGGGCCATGAGGGTCTCCCACGGTTTCCCGGCGCCATCTTGTTGCACGAGGTAGTTAGTTGGTGTTAAGAAGGGAAGGGGGGGGGGAGGAGGGGTTAGAAGCTTCTAGCAGCCATTTTGATTAAAACATGTGTGCTTAGCTTTATATATGATATATCGTGAAATGAGTAAATAGACATTTTTTCACTAACTAGGAAATATGTGTAGACCTTATTTCCACAACAGTCCCCCCTAAAATGGCTATTTACCATAACAACTGCTACTGTCCCTAATATGTCCCTAGCTGCCTGCAGCTCATCTGTCTGAACAAGCATCGAACACTTCACTCCGTGGGTAACCCGCAGTGGCTAGTCCACCACATCTCCACACGTGAGACTCGCCTGTCAAGACAGACGCTTTCCCTACACTGTCCCTACAGGAAAGCAGTTGTCTGTTTGAACTGATGTGATTGGAGGGGTGTATGTGGAGTGTCATCCTCGAGGTCTGTGATATCTTGATGTATGAAAGTAGGGGTCACGTCATCTATAGTCTTATCTACTGCTTTCTGTAAATACTTTTGTATGCAAGGGAGTACGCAACAGGTTAGAAATAAGATGATGATGATCATTATAAGAACAGCTGTCCCTACCTGGAAGAGGGTTCTTTGCCAACCATTCATCCATCCAAACCATCTGTCCCAAGTGTCAGTGACTCCTGAATTCTTCTTTAGCTCGTCTGAAAGACTATCTAGCTTCTCTATGGCCATAGTCACCTTACCATTGGGCCCAGTGTTGTCTGGAATGTATGTGCAGCATGTCATAGTCTCAGGGAGGATTTTACATACTCCCCCTTTCTCAGCTAAGATCATATCTAGGGCCATTCTGTTCTGAAATGTCATTTGGGTAGTGGCTTGTAACTGTTCTGCTAGGCCCTGTAGGGCATCCCTTGTGTAGTTAACGAAGCGCTGCTGATTATAATAGATGTAATTGATCCAATTGACATTTTTGTTAGCAGTTATCATTGGAATTAGGGATTCAAATCCTGCAGCCACTTCATCTCTTGCTTTGAATTCGTTAGGCACCCCCCTTGGCACACCTATGGCATCAATATACACATGGGGGTCGAAGCTCCCTCGGATAGGAGCCTCTCGTTTGGTTCTAGAGTGTACGTGTGTAAGGTTTAACGTGTTATGACTACCATCTGGAATAATGTGGATAGGCATTATGACTTTGGTTAGGGCACACTCCCCCCACCATTGCCCAGCTAATTGGGACCTCAATTGTTTGTCACCACATAACCAATAGATATCACCGATTGTCTTTGTGTGGTTCATTAGCAGTGATACAGGTGGATTATGGTAAGTTGAGCAGTATCCTGATGGGAATTTGCCCAGATACAAACCAGCGTTCTTAGGTATTGCATAACGTGTGTAATTACCTGGGTACACAGTGACTCCATCAGGTGGTTTTACATGTCCATGAGTGATTGGGTAAATTCTCTTCCATGATTCACATGTTGAGGAGTTGGTGGTGGATTGTGCATAAAGACTCAGAACACATAATTCTACTTCAGGAGGTAAGCTCAAAGGTACTGTGCCCAGATGGGGCCTGGCTCCTCCACATACATAACAGTTAGTCTTATTATGTGAGTTTGCGTTATACCTCATCCATTCTAGCCACAAATTAGTGTCTGAAAACCCAGTTTCTACTGCCATGGTATCCTCAAAGGTGGGGTTAGCTATAGCTACCATGTCATGTAGGGTCTTAATATGTGGTTTTAATGAGTTAATGATCATGTGAGTGGCCCCTACCCAGTCTGGGGAGGTGAGCATGTCTTGTAGGTAAAATGTCCCCAATGCATTATGTGAGCCACCTCCCTTCCAGTACATTCCCATCACATATTCCCCTGCATCCCTTGGGCTGGGGTGTTCTATATTCAGGGTAAGTTTAATGGGAGTTGACCCTGTGGGTTTACTTAGAGTCATTCTAGAAAGTAGGGGCTTCCCGTCTTTGTCAAGTCTGTCCAGTGCAACTTGAGGTCTGTAGCCCCATGGTCTACCTGTATTCCACCCGGCAGCTTTCCATGAACTACAATGGTGTCCCCAAACTCCTCCAGTCACACAAATGTATGGATCCTTTTTGTTAGGTATGTCTTTGTATATGGCTGCATATTGTGTTTGTGGAAATGTACAAGTAACTACGTCACAGTAATCAAAGGTGTATGTGGCTACATCAGTATTAGAAGAATTGTACCAGAAAGTGTAAACGTGATTATCTTTGGTTATGGCCATTTGTTGGGCCCAGGCAAAGTGTAGCAGCATAAGAAAACACAAGACACATAATAAATTAATATTTCAACAGGATCAGCTTCTTCTGGAGCAGGCACTTTTTTGCAATGTGAAGCGTGTATCCAAGAACTCTTTCCAGCTAGTTTAACTGACGTTGCTGTAATCAGGAGCACTTGGTAAGGACCATCAAATCTTGGTTCTAGGGTGTGTTTTCTGAGAAACTTCTTGACCATAACCCAGTCACCCGGAAGCAGCTTGTGTGTACCTGTATTCGACTCAGGATCTGGAATAGAAGAAAACACTTGGGCATGTATCTTGGTCAAGGCATGTGAGAGGGCAGTCACATAGTCTACCATAGCGTCTGACTGAATCTGAAGCTGTTGGGGAAAGTAGCAACCTAACCTGGGTGCTGTACCAAACAAAATCTCATAAGGTGACAAGCTATATTTTCCTCTGGGAGTGTACCTTACACTAAATAACGCTAGTGGGAGACTCTCGGGCCAGGGCATGTTAGTTTCTTGTGATATCTTAAGCATTCTGGCTTTCAAAGTGCTATTCATGCGTTCTACCTTACCGCTACTTTGTGGGTGGTATGGTGTGTGGAATGCAAGGGTCACCCCCAGTGCTGACCAGACTTCCCGTGTTAGCGAGGCAGTGAAGGAGATCCCTTGGTCACTTTCAATTACTTCTGGAACTCCATAGCGGCAAACAATTTCTGTCAAAAGATACTTGGCTGTAGTCCTCGCGGTGAGATTAGTCACTGGGAAGGCCTCTGGCCATCCTGAAAACATGTCCACTATGACCAATGCATATTCATAACGTCCACTCTTTGGCATCTGAATGTGATCAATCTGGATCCTCTGGAAGGGGTATTGTGGTTTAGCTAGGTGATTAGGTGCGGTCTTTATGATCTTTCCAGGATTGCATTTAGCACATATAGTACAAGATTTACAGTAATTCTGTGTTAAGGTAGTGATGCCTGGTGCTTCAAAATACTTGTCAATCAGTGAGTTCATCAGGAGTTTCGACAGGTGGGCTGGCCCATGGGCCCATTGGACCACCGCTGAGTACATACTTCTGGGTAAGCAGAACTTGAGATTGATGGTGTAAACATCATCACGGAGTACAGCTCCTTTATTCTTCCAACTTTGTTTCTCTTGGGGAGTAGCAGCAGCTTGTTGTTCCTTCAGAAGCCTAAGATCTGTAGGCAATGTTTGCATAGTGTAGATAGGTAGTGTATCTGTGGCCACTCTTCTGTCCACTTCCCATCCTTGCCGCGCTGCTTCCTTGGCTGCCTGATCAGCTAAGTGGTTGCCACGTGCTTCTTCTGTGTCTAGTCTTCCGTGGGCTTTTACTTTCAGTACTGCCACCTCTGCTGGGAGTTCCAATGCATCCATCAGTTCTGCAATAGCTGCCCCATGTTTTACTGGGGTACCGGTAGCCGTAAGAAATCCTCTGGTCTTCCAAATTAAGCCAAAATCGTGGGCTACTCCCAGGGCATATCTTGAATCCGTGTAAATATTGACACGTAGACCTTCAGACAATTTGCAGGCCACAGTTAGGGCTGTTAGTTCGGCTTCTTGAGCAGACTTAGTTGGTTGGAGGGCAGCTGCTTGTAATACTTGACATCCTGTGGTGACTGCATACCCAGTGTGATATTGTCCATGTTCATCAGCAAATCTTGACCCATCCACAAATAGTGTTTGGTCCGGGTTGAGTAATGCAGCTTCATAGACAGTTGGTAGGTGTGTAGTTTCCATTTTCATTTGTTCAAAACAATCATGAGGAATATCTAGGTCACAGTCTGTGGTGAGTGGATCTTCATAGGCTTCTGTGTGGTACCTTAGGTACCCTGCTGTACAGTAGTTAATAGTCTTTTTGTTGATCCCCGTAGAAGTCAGTTGTTCTTGGGTCATTTGGCTCCAGGTTTTGGCCATCGGGCCTAGGTCTTTCCATGAGGTGTCGGGGGATCTGGTGAGAGATATGTGTGGGATAGCTGTTTCCCAATGATGATAGAGATGTGTTACATTCTCTGGAAGATGGACTAAGATGAGCATGGTACCTGTGGGGTCCCAGAATAAGTCAGTCAGGGTAATTTGAATTTCTTTGAGCTGGAATAGTTCTGCCTCATAGTTCATATCAGGGCCTGGAACGTCCTTAAACCACAAGGTACAGTGAAGTAGGGCCTCTGATTGTTCATCATGTGGAGGTGCAAGTGCAGGCAGCTGCAAATCTGTTCGAACCTCTGGGTTGATATCCAGGCTATACCAGTGCTGTACAACCCCCCCCTTGGGAAGTGGCAGAAGAGTGGCTGGGTTCAGGGAAAGACATCTCTGGAGTTTCACATTGTCAGGTAGAAGTAAGGAGGTTTGCAGACGGAGGTGACGTTGGGAGGAA